GCCACCCTTCTCCAGGTGGGTTCTGGGGACACAGGAACGTGGGGAGATGCACAGTGGGACCCCCCGTGCCCACTGGGCCCTGCCTGTCCCCCGCAGATGGTGCACACCTTGGCGAGCAATGGGGCCAACTCCATCTGGGAGCACTCGCTGCTGGATCCGGCGCAGGTGCAGAGCGGGCGCCGGAAGGCAAACCCCCAGGACAAAGTGCAGTGAGTGCCCCCTGTACTGTGGGGAGGGGGTCAGCACTGTCTGGGACCCCACTCCTCACCTTAAAACCTGCTGCCCCCCTCAGCCCCACCAAGTCGGAGTTCATCCGTGCCAAGTACCAGATGCTGGCCTTTGTCCACAAGCTGCCCTGCCGAGATGACGACGGTGTCACTGCCAAGGACCTCAGCAAGGTGGGGTGGGGGCTCAGGGACCCCCCCCTTGGCCGGGGGGATAGATTGCCCCGTTACCAGCTCTCTCCTCCACAGCAATTGCACTCGAGCGTGCGGACGGGCAACCTGGAGACCTGCCTGCGCCTGCTCTCGCTGGGCGCCCAGGCCAACTTCTTCCACCCGGTGAGCGCTGGTGGGGCTTGGAGGCTCTAGGGTTGGTGCAGGGCTTAGGGGTCCCCAGAGCCCTGTCCCACAGGCAGGCTGTGGGTCTGAGGCTGCCCATGCCTGCAGGAGAAGGGCACCACACCACTGCATGTGGCCGCCAAGGCCGGGCAGATCCTGCAGGCAGAGCTGCTGGTGGTCTACGGCGCCGACCCCGGGGCACCCGACGTGAACGGCCGGACCCCCATTGACTATGCCAGGTGAGGGCGGGGAAGGGGCACCCCTGCCTGCACCCCCACCTAGGGTGGGCGTTACCCCTGCCCGCCCTCCCACAGGCAGGCAGCCCAGCACGAGCTGGCAGAGCGGCTGGTGGAGTGCCAGTACGAGCTGACCGACCGGCTGGCCTTCTACCTCTGCGGCAGGAAACCAGGTGAGTGTGCGAGTCCTGGGGTGGGGAGGTTACCCTGGGGGCAAGGGGGGCACGAGGCCCCGCTCAACACCCCTCTCTTTGCACAGACCACAAGAATGGGCACTACATCATCCCGCAGATGGCTGACAGGTGAGTGTCTGGTGCCCGCGGCCCTGCCACCCTGTCCCATGTCCCCCCCAGCGTCCCCGCTGGGCTGAGGGGGGGACCCCTGTCACTGGAGCATCCCTGGTGGGGTGGGGGGGGTCAGCGTGCCCGCGCGTTTAACGTCCGCCTTTATCCTGTTCTTCCCTCCGCTGCCTTCTCCGGAGCGCAGGGTGCGCCCAAAGTGCATGGCACAGAGGTATTGTCCGCTCGGCTCTTGGCTCCGGGGGCCCCCCATGCCACTGGCATGGGCCCCCCCTGCAGCCCCGGCC